TCCAACACGAATTGGTTCACTATCAAATTTGAGATACAAAAAAGTACTTCACAGTATCATATGAGGATACTGGCAGCAGCCTACCCGCGACAACTGCGCTAGTTACAGTATCCTATTTTGATACTAAAAGTATCCCGCTGCGTTACTGAAAATTCCAACGACTACCTAGTAGCTGTAGCCAGCTATATGATTTAAGTCTGACGGTGCTCATGATAGTGCCACCTAAAAATGTTGTCGAACCTAACAACATATAGGACATCATAATAAAATTGCGTGAATTATGAAAAATAAATAAAATTGAGTGAAAAACAGAAAAAAAAAAAAAGAAGAATTATTTCAACACACAAAAAGAAAAATGAGATGAACGCATTACCTAGTAGTAAAGAGCCAAGCATGGCAATCATAACTGTGATAATAATACACCTGCCAATAGACGAAAGATCTCGGCCAAAAGCCATTTTTCTGCTGCTACTTTTGAAGTCCCCTAATCCAAAACTTGTTAGTGAAAGCACACGCTACATACAAATATTTATAGTCCTTCCGATCGGATTTGTCATATGATATTCTAAGTATTATATATGTATGGACGAGTGGTTACTTTTTTCTCGATAAATATAGAAATTTGACGACGTATCATGATAAGAATCTAATTTTATTAATTGCTATTAATTTTTTTTATTAATTATTCAATTTATTACAACCATCGAATTAATATCTTATGGTTAAAATAATAATACCTATTAACAAATAAATATTAGAATAACTATTAAAATTACACTCATATATATATATATATATATGTGTGTGTGTGTGTGTGTTGTATATCTTTAACCGCCGAGTACCTCTACACGGAACATTATACACGAGTCACAAAACGAGTGATCGACTCTTGCAAGCACGTCATAAGAACGGCATGATATGCATAATGAAACTCCTTAAATTAGTGAGACATATGCATGGCATTTGTAACGGAGATTTTGCCATTTGAACTGGCATTTGGCATTGAGCTGCGAAGTTTTGCTTTATTTACGGGTAATAATCAACCGCTTTTTGACCAAAAATTTACCAACCATTTCTGTTTTTGTTTTCTTATTGAAAGCTTAGGCCTATTGATTAATTCTACAAAATTCATAGAGGTCCATAGGAAAAAAATCCCGTTCACAGCAAAATCCGCGATCAAAATTTGATTAGAAAAGATCAAATGGTTGCAAACATGAAGAATTTAAATTAAAATAAAATTAAAGATAAAAAGGATGAGAGATTTGGTTTGGCTCAATGTATCCTACATTCATTATAATTGTTGAACTTTTTGTTAAATTCTCCAAATTACACACTCAAAGTCGCTGAAACGAATTCTTTAAAAACATAATGTAAACAAGAAAAATGTAAAGTCTTGTATAACTGTGAGTCTCAATCCTCGCGGATCAGACCCATTCTCTTCTTCTAGTGTTGAATCCCTCAGTTTTAATGGAGATGGTGAGCAGAGGCGGAGGCAGGTGAGGTACAGGGGGCATATGCAATCCCCC